AATGAGGAGTGTTGGAATTAATTGAGTTTGGTCATATGATTACTAAGTTAGATATATTGAAGTTAAACGTGATTTTAGGTTAAGCTTAATTTTGGGTTTATAAAATAATTATTAGTTATTGAATTAGGCCCAAAATTAAATCCAAGTTCTAGAATCTCTAGAAACATCACTAAAAATCATCATCTTTCTCAAGTGTTCTAGAGAATTCTATTAGTTAAATATCTAGATAATTGTATAGATAATTCTAGATATTGTAGTTAAAAATCTAGATATTATTGTAGAAAATTATAGAAATTAGGAGAATGTTTGTAAGATATTTTGTAATAAGTGGAGCCTATAAATAGCCTACTCCTACATCATTTTTAAACAATGAGAAGTTGAACAAATAAAGAAAGAGTGTCTCTCTAAAATTCTTTCAAGTTTTCTCTAAGTGTTCTTTCATCTTATTATTCATACTTAGAGGGTTTTGGTTTCTTTCGGGTCTCTCGGGTATTACGGTTTTGGGCTAGTGCTTGGCACTATTTGGTGTTTTCTTTACATGGTATCAGAGCCATTCTGATCTGGTTCTTTTCAAGATCGGATTAATTGAGATCTCAGATTTATTCTAAGTATGGAGTCAATGGGTCGCGTTGTTGGATTGGGAATGGAGATTCTAAACCAATCTAATTACCGATTATGGAAGTCATGCATGGAGTCATACTTGGTGAATGAGGACTTATGGGATGTTGTCGGCGGCTGTAGCACAACACCACCAAGGGGAGCTGCTGCGATAGCGGAAGCGACAAAGGAGTGGACACAGAAGAATGCCAAGGCAGAGTTTGCATTGAAGAGGTCAATATCCTCGGGATTCTTTGAGCATGTCTTAAGTTGCACATCCGCTAGTTCCATTTGGCAGGTGTTAGATCAGTTGTTCAAAAAGAAGAATGAAGCTCGGCTACAACTGTTAGAGAACGAGCTGGCGAATGTAAAACAGGGGGAGTCTTCAATCTCAGATTTTTCCATCAAGGTAAAGAATCTCCGCTCTGAGATTAATACTCTAACTCCGGAGGAGTCAATTTCGGAAACACATTTAAAACGGTATATTATTCAAGGTCTACGTCCCGATTATACACCGTTTGTGACTTCAGTTCAAAGATGGGCTACACAACCTTCCTTGGAGGAGTTCGAGAACCTGCTAGCTTTGCAAGAGTCATTAGCTACACAAATGGCAGAAGTCAAAATCCATGATGACTCGGGGAGCGCCTTTGTAGCTCAGAAGCAACAGAACTTCAAAGCCAAATCCAAGTACGATGATGCAAAGAACATCGATGGACCAAAAGGATCTTCCACAGGAGATAAGAAGCGATTCAAGTGCTACCGGTGTGGAAAGTTTGGGCACTTCAAAAAGGATTGTCGAGTCAAGCTGAAGGAGACAAATATGGCAGAATCAAAAGGTCATATTGAAGACAAAGAATAAGGGAAATGCTTCACGGTGGAGGCTGCATCTTCAGGTATATCCACAACTAAAAATCTTGGAAATGATTGGATTGTGGATTCGGGTTGTAGCCACCATATTACGGAGACGAGAAGCTATTTTCTAGTCTTCAGCGCCATGACGGAAAAGAAGCCATAATTACTGCGGATAATTCAGTTCACCAGGTCGAGAAGGAAGGGACTGTTGTCATTGAAGGAGATGATGGAAGCCCTATCACTCTCAAGAATGTATACCATGTCCCTGGAGTAAGGAATAATCTTCTCTCTGTGGTGAATGCAGTAGACTCAGGTAACTACGTTTTATTTGGCCCAAAAGACGTCAAATTCTTGAAGAATATTAAAGAGTTAAAGGCGGATGTTGTTCACACCGGATCGCGGGTTAAGGATCTATATGTCTTATCTGCGTCCAACTCATACGTAGAGAAGATGAGTACAAACAACAATGCCTCTATATGGCATGCTCGGCTTGGTCATATAAACATGACTAAGCTAAAGGTTATGGTGAATAAGGAGTTGATAAATGGGCTTTCGAAGCTGAAGATCCAAGATGAAGGAAAGCTTTGTGAAGGTTGTCAATATGGAAAAACACATAGACTTCCATTTGACAATTCTACTTCACGGTGCAGTGTTCTGTTGGAGAGGATCCATAGTGATTTGATGGGTCCTACAAGAACACCCTCATATTCCGGGTTTCGGTACATGCTGTTGTTCATTGATTACTTCTCACGGCACACTTGGGTATACTTTGTGAAAGAAAAATAAGAAGTATTCTCCAAGTTTCAAGAATTCAAGGTTACCGTGGAAGGGGAGCTGGGTCGGAGAATCAAGAACTTAAGGACGGATAATGGAGGGGAGTTCATGTCCAAGGAGTTTCTCTCTTTTTGTCAAAAGCATGTAATAAATAGAGAGTTTACTTGTCTGTATACACCTCAACAAAATGGAGTAGTAGAAAGGAAGATCCGACATCTAACTTAGACGTGCAGAAGCTGGCTATATGGGAAGGATCTGCCTAAGGCCTTGTGGGCGGAAGGCATGAGATGCGCAGCGTACGTCATAAATCGGATGCCACTCAGCCCAAATAACATGAAGTCTCCTTATGAGATGATTCATGGGAAGAAGCCGTCAGTGAAACATCTCAGGATATTTGGATCAGTCTGCTACGTCCATGTGTTCGATTCTCAAAGAACCAAGTTGGAGGCAAAGGCGAAGAAGTGCATCTTCGTTGGCTATGACGAACAAAGAAAAGGGTGGAGATGTATGGATCCAGAGACACACATGTATGTAGTGTCTCGAGATGTTGTTTTAATGAAGTTTCCTCATTCTATGGGCCACCTCAAGTCTTAGTTGAGCAAGAAGGTGGGAGTTCCTCTGAGAGTGATAAACCAGCTCTGAGTAAGGAAAAAGGTCCTGAAGAAGAGATGCAAGGTGAAAGGGGGAGTACTGATCAAGAAGAGGATGAGGAGGAACATCATGGTTCCACGACTAGTCAAAGGCCTAAAAGGGACATCATTAAACCTGCTCGGTTCAGAGATCCAAAGTTTGTTACTACCTTCTCGTGCTACTTTGCAGCTCCATTAGATGAAGATGAGCCAACATCTTATGATGAAGCAAAAGGTGTTGACGAGTGGAAAAACGCAATGAAGGAGGAGATGAATGCTCTCATGAAGAACGAAACTTGGGATTTGGTTCCAAAACCCAAGGATGCCCAACCTGTTTCTTGTAAATGGGTGTACCGGATCAAGCGCAAAACAGATGGAAGCGTTGATAGATTCAAGGCAAGGTTGGTTGCTCGGGGATTCTCTCAAAAGTATAGAGAAGACTATGATGAGACCTTCAGCCCTGTAGCCAAGATGACTACGGTACGCTCTCTCTTATCTTTGGCTGCAAGTTTTGGTTGGAAGTTATGGCAATTAGACGTGAAGAATGCTTTTCTATATGGAGAGCTTGACAAGAAAATGCTGATGGAGCAACCACTTGGTTTCATATCACGAGAGCATCCTGATTATGTGTGTAAGCTGAAGAAGGCCTTGTATGGGTTAAAACAAGCTCCACGAGCCTGGTATGGAAAGCTTGCTCAGTTTCTTCAGTTCTGCGGTTACGTGGCATCAAACTCTGATCTGAGTCTATTCTTCAAGAAGAATGGAGGAGTCCATGTGGTAGTTCTCCTTTACGTGGATGATATGATAATTACTGGGAATGATGATGCATAAATTGCTCGTTTACAAGAGGATATGTCGATAAGGTTTGAGATGAAGAAGTTGGGAGAGCTCAACAACTTTCTCGGTTTAGAGGTGGAAAGGGTAAAGAATGGAATATTCATCGGCCAACAAAGCTATGCAAGAAGAATTGTTGAGAAGCTTAGAGTACACGAAGGAAAGACACGCTCTACTCCAATTGACAGCAACATAAAGCTTAGACGCGATGAAGGGTCGTTGCTACCTGATCCTCGGCCTTATCGCTCTCTTGTAGGAAGTCTTTTATACTTAACCATTACAGGACCTGACATTGCCTTTGCGGTAGGTCTTGTAAGTCGGTTTATGCAGGCACCAAGGAAACCACATCTAGAAGCGGCAAAGAAGATATTGAAGTATGTGAAGACAACTCTTGGCATGGGTCTGGTGTACAAGTATAATGCCAAAGTCTCTCTTTATGGCTTCACGGATGCTGACTTTGGTGGAGATCTTGATGATCGGAAATCAACTTCAGGCTATGTGTTCCTATGTGGGGACACAAGTGTCTCATGGTGCAGTAAGAAGCAAGCAATGGTGTCATTATCTACAACTGAAGCAGAGTATAAAGCTTCAACTCTAGCAGCTCAAGAGTGTATTTGGCTTCGGAAACTCCTTGAAGATCTATTCAAGCCAATCAATAATCTAGTTGCAATTTATGGAGATAATCAAAGTGCGATCAAGCTGGCCAATAATCCGGTGTTCCATGGGAGGGCTAAACACATTGAGTTAGAGCATCACTTCATAAGGGAGAAGGTGCTTGATGGGACAATTGAAGCTTTGGAAGTTTGAAGCGAGGACAACGTTGCAGATATCTTCACCAAGTCATTACCAAAAGATCAGTTCGAGTTACTTCGCTCGAAGCTCGGGATGGCTGACAAAATCAAGTTTAAGGGGGAGTATTGAAGTTAAACTTAATTTTGGGTTAAGCTTAATTTTGGGTTTATAAAATAATTACTAGTTATTGAATTAGACCCAAAATTAAGTCCAAGTTCTATAATCTCTAGAAACATCACTAAAAATCATCATCTTTCTCAACTGTTCTAGAGAATTCTATTAGTTAAATATCTAGACAATTGTATAGATAATTTTAGATATTGTAGTTAAAAATCTAGATATTATTGTAGAGAATTCTAGAGATTAGGAGAATGTTTGTAAGATATTTTGTAATAAGTGGAGCTTATAAATAGTCCACTCCTCCATCATTTGTAAACAATGAGAAATTTAACAAATAAAGAAAGAGTGTTCTTCATAAGTTCTCTAATTCTCTCCAAAATTCTTTGAAGTTTTCTCAAAGTGTTCTTTCATCTTATTATTCATATTTAGAGAGTCTTGGTTTCTTTAGGCTAGTGCTTGGCACTATTTGGTGTTTTCTTTACAAGATATGTGTTATATCAAAAGATGCTTGTAAGCATCTTGTTTGTTTTAGTAGGAGTCGTAACTTTTGGTTTAGAACACATATAACAAGACACAACTCTTCGTTCGTGTTGTTTGAAAAAGTATTTAAACACAAGTTCTTCTTCTCTGTAAAAACAAGTTTTTCATAATCAATAATAAAACACAAGTTTTTCTTATACGGTACTCTGTTTTTCATTCTACAAAACAGAGCAACAAGTAAACACTTGTTTTGCTTTTTGAGAAAGAAGCTTGCGCTTATAACATCCTCACCCTCCATATTTTCCAAACAATCCATGGTGGAAGTACCAGTCATATTATGGATCAGGAATACTGTTTTGACATTGTCTTCTAATTCATCTGGAGCTTGATCAAACTGAGTAAATATGATTGATTGTCTCTTCCGTCAAGCAACATCTTTGGCAGGTTGTATTTAGCTCAACTCCTCTTGTATTTAATCTGTCTGCCGTTGCAAGGGAGCCAAGGGTCTTGCCAAACATTTGTATATTTTCCAATCCCAGTTGTACTCGCAGTCCTTTGCAAAGTTCAAACAAATCCTCAGAGGTCGGTTTTATCCTAACGAAAATACTCCGACAACGGTATCTCCTAGTTTCAAAATGGGTAAGTTCGGTCTCAATTATTCTCCTATGTTATTCATGATTGTTGTATCCTCTGCGATTAGTCACTCTTTTTTTTCTTTTTTCAGCGAATGTATTCCGAGCCCTACTATATTAATGGAAGTATATATTTTTTTTTGAATTACACAGAATCTTGCACACACACTGTTTTGGAAACCGGAGGATCTACAACCTGTAGTTTGGTTAAGGCGAAGCCTACATTAGTCGTGGAAGTGCTTATGAACTAATTAAGTCCTAAATTTTTATCGCAGCACATTATAAATCAAATTATTAACTTATACTCTCATTTATTTGCAGTATGGCTAATTTTTGTTTTCCTAACATACTTGTTGGGCTTAGCGACTCATATGATACGTAACGCGATGGGAATGACAAGAGCGAGAGACGGCCAACTTGAGCTGGTACATATAATATCTCCCCAAATTATTTTTTTGAACAAAAAAAAAATGGTTGAGAGACTTGAGATTTCATTATTTCAAGGATAAGATAAGAGGCCATTAATGTCTGCTCTTTGGAGTAGAGTCACGTGAAGGTTTTTCTGGCCTCGTTTTGAAATTTTACAAAGCAATTGTCTTGTTTACTAACTTTCCATGTGGATATTATCCCTAATACTTTTTCTTGATCACAAGTTAGTGTTAAAATAGAACTTTAGGCTAGAATTGTTATACAATAAGCTAGAAATCCTAGGTTTACATGCTTTTACTATTTAGAAAAATCATTCTCAGAGATAAAACACTACACATGCACCTGGTTACCCTAACATCAGAAATGGATTTGTCACTAAGCCACGTTGACCTCTTTGGTTAAAAAAATGAAGAAGATGAAAATTTTGGTTTAGTGGGGAATTGTTGTATTTAGTACTAAGTGAAACCGTCATATTAAGAGATTACGAGATCGACTAAACAAATCCTTATTGTTATTAAAAAAGTTAGGATTTGTGTATATTTTGTAATTGTTATATAGGTAGATTTCCTATTATCAAATATGTAAAAAGCTTGTTAAACAAATTATGAGTTTGTATGAATAGGCTAATAGATAAAGATGAGGGAACTATTAAAGTTATGAATTTATACTTCTAAAGTTTCCTTCAAAATTTGATTTGATATCAGAGTAGTAGTACAAAAGACTTTGTCCGATTCTTGGCCGCTTCCTGTTGTGAATCTATGTTTCTATCGATATTTTCTCATTTGCCTATTGATATTCTTCTTTCCTTTCTTTCTGTCTTCTCAAAGTTTTGTTCAATTTCAACTGTTTACAGGAAAAAAGGTTTGAGAAAGGGACGTGATTGCCCTTCCTCTCAAGAAATTCTGTTTTTCTTATCCATATGTTGTTTCCATTGAGATTGGTATAGGTTAATGAAATATGAAATCTTAAACTCTAGAAATTGTATATTCCCTCTGTTTTTTAATATATGATGTTTAAGGTTTTGCACAAAGATTAAAAAGTTATTTAATTTTCTTTTTTTCCAAAACAAAACATCAATTCCAAAACAATTCAACCAATAGAAAAATAATATATAGAATAAAACAATTACTTTTTGCATTGATTTCTGAAAACATCATCTAATTATGAACAAAAAAAACTTCCAAAAACATCTTATAAAAAAACAGAGGGAATATATAATATGTGTTGCATCAAAAGTTGTGAGAGTGATCACTATAAGAAAACATTAAAAATTCCAACAAAACTTTCTTACAAATAAGATTGTTGGAAAATTTTCAACAAATATCTTACAAAATTATGTCTAAAATTAGTTTTGTTTAAAACGCATTACAAAGTTCTAACAAATTTGAGTGATCGCAATATGTATTAATATATATTGGAGATTTGGACCAACCTACTCATTACCCATCTATTATTAGGGATGTCAATTTGGGCTAAAGCTCGAAGCTTGGTTCGGCCCGACCCTAAAAAATACCGGGTTCAGGTTTTGGTATAAAAGCCCAAAAAAATCAGGTTTTTTGGACTAAACCCATTCGGGCTAAGCCCATTTGGACTTAAGCCCGATCGGTCTCGGGCTTACCCGAAAAGCCCTGTACTTTATATTATAATTTTATTTAGAATTTTTTATTAATAAATTATCTTTACAATTTTAAAAAATTAGAGTTATTAATTTTTTTTTATCATATTCTTTATTAATATAAAACCTTAATTTTTAGTTGTGTATCTTTATATAACATCAATGTTCAAACTAAACTAGTTTCAAAAATTACTCATACTTTCATCCTGAAAATTCTCATCTCGATTTCTACCATTTCTACTATTTACATTACTTATTTATTTAATTATATTTGATATTAGAATTTATATGAATTTATAAGTTAAAGTTTTGCTTTCAGATTTGATAAAACTATATTTATGATTATTTTTAAAATTTATTTTATGTTTCTAAAAAGCCCGAAAAAGCCCGTAAAAACTCGATAACCCTGTTAGGGCCGGCCCGGACTTCAAAATATAAGCCCGATATATTATCGGGTCGGGCCAGGCCGGGCTTAAATATATACGGGCTTTATGAGTTTCAGACCGGGCCAGCCCATTTGACATGCTTATCCATTATATTAAAAGAGAATCTCATTTAGAAGAATAACCTTTAGTTACTGTATTATTTACCTAATGTGTCATTGGACTTTCATTAGATATATAAAAATTTATTAAATCTATTCTTTTTATTAAATCATTAAAGTGCTAACTTTTTATTATTTTTCTCATTAAAAGCTCAATATTTTGTTTTCCTTCTTATTAAAAGGTCTATTTTTGTTTAAAAATTTAGAATTATCTTATTTTTTTGTTTTTAATTCGAAATTTATCAAAAATTATATAAAAATGCCAAAAAATTAAAAGAATAATATTTTTAGGGTCTAAAATTTCATTTTGTCTAAGGAACCTAAAATATGTTAGGTCGGAGCTGTATGTCAATATCTATAATATTTCTTTTTTTGTGATTGGACTTCCTCAACTACTGTTTATATACCCAAAAAATTAAATTCATATACTCTGATCGATTTCTTCTCGTTATAGAGAAGATAAATGGGAAAAAAATAGAGAAAAAAATCATTAAAAATAAGAAAAGAGAAAGAAAGTAGAAGAATAATGTAGAAGAAAAATTTAAAAGAAAAATGAAGAAAAATAAAAAGAAGATGAAGAAAAAAAAAAGAAGAAGAACAATAATAAAAACTTAGAAAAATAAGAAGAACAACAAAAAAAGAACAATAATGAAGATAAATACAAACTAAAAACATTAATATATTATTTTCTTATTAAAAAATTAACACACTTTTATTATATTTTTTTGACTAAAAAACATTAGTACAATTAACAAAAAAATATACAATTAACCATTCAAACTTTAAACTCTAATAGTTTAAATCCAAAAATAATATTTAAAACATAAATTTTAATCTTACAAATATTTACTTAGCGCAAACATAAACACATGCTTAATATGTAAGAGTGTTGCTTAATATATAAAGTTGTATCAAACATGTGTTTACATAAGAATGAGTATATTTTTATATACATATTTTTTAATATCTTAGCATTATTTGTAAATTAACTATTTTGAGTAAAATGTTGTGGAACCATAAAATCACATTTTAAAATTGTATTTATAAAACTAATATTTTCTAAAACTAAATTTTTAAAAAAATTACTTGTGCGCCGACGTGCAGATTAGATCCTAGTTTGTTTTTAGTTGGAAGTTTATGAAACTTAAAACGGCATGTCCCCCTCAACTTAAAATTGTTTTGGTCTGACGAGATTAATTGCTAGAAAAACCATTATCTCGAAAGAAAGAAAATTTTGGATTATTATAAATTAATATGCCATAAAGCTTTGAGAAGGTGTATAAAAATGTCCAACATTCGAAACTTTGAGTAGTATATAAGAAACTTAAACCAATCCATTAATTCTGAATTGGTTTTGAGTTTGAAAGTTCAAAAAACTTAACAGTTTTGTTATTAAAACAAAAAATGAGAAGCAAAAATACCAACGTGAAAAAAAGCTATAGTATCCTTGGAGATCTTCTCTGCCTTTGCAAACCACCTTGTTTATGTCATCAACTCGTCAACCATGCTACATAATGAGCTAGAAACCCTAGGTCGAAGTACTTTTTTTTATTTAGAATTACATTTTTTATAGATGAAAAAGCTACACATGCACCTCTCAATATATTAACCCACATGCCTAAGAGGATTAGAAATCGTAAGCCACATTAACCTCTTTTTTTTTTTCTAAGGCTTGATTAATATTGATTTAAGAATTGGGAAAAATGGTACTAGTAGACATCTTACAAAGTTTAAACAAACAAATGTTCAATAAAAACAATAGCCTAAATATGTTGCTAGAGAAATAGAGGAAAAGGCATACATTATACATCAAAATTAGAATATGCGATTCCATTATTGGGATAATCATTCGTAATTTAAGAACATTATGGATCTAATCTTCTTACTGTAGAAACACACTTAAACAGATTAAATTTTAAAACCCTCGTTACTGTAGGATTTGGAAGATTAAGACGTTATTAAATCTTTTTTATATTGCATTGATAAGATGGAACCACATAGGCGCCAAGACAAAACAGAACTTTGAGATGCAATCTATTTTTAAGAAATAGTAAGGAGATGAAATCAATAATGGTGAAAATTCCCACATCTGAGGTGGAGAAAAAATTGATTTTAAGAACTCTCTGCCGAAAAGGAAACGGTAAGATCTGAATAAAGTTTTTTAAAAGAGATACCCAAACAAACAGCATAACCTAGAACTGATAGGATTGAGCGAACAAAAATCAGATCTATAACAGAAAGATCCAAAAAAAAGAAAAATATAGTATAGGCGGAAATTGTTTTGTTTGTTTTCAGTTGATCACATTCATAGGTTAGAACCTTCATAAATAAGTTAAATACATATCTTCGGCCCTATCAAAAAAACTTTTGTCGCATCTATTTAATGCCTTTTTGTATTGTCTCTCGTTCCTATCCAGTAGTTTCGCTTTGTGTCTCCTCTTTATCTCCCCACCACATAACTCTCAGATGATAAAATATATACGTTGAAATTTGACAAAAAAAACAGTATATATATGCTGAAAATAATATATTTTCGTAGATACATTTACTCGAGTTTTGACTTATACATCTCTCTGAACGTGACCTGATGCAAACATCGTGGGTTATGCGGAAAATGACAATCAAGCACTCTTTTTATAGTGTGAAGTGCAAAACAAAAGTACAATTTTAGATATATAAATATTCGTACATGTACGTATTTGAGTAAGTGCAAGTTGAGCAAACAAATGTGAAGAAAGTAATAAAAACCAAAATATGTTGCTAGTGCTAGAGAAAGAGAGGAAAAGACATACAGTATACAACAAAATTAGAATATATGATTCTATAATTGGGATGATCATTAGTAACTTAGGAGCATTATGGATCTAATCTTTTTAATGTAGAAACACATTTAAACAGATTAAAATTTAAAACCCTCTTTACTGTAGGATTTGGAAGTTTAAAACGCCAATAGATAAATTGCTTTGATGAGATGGAGCCATGGAGGCACAAGAACGAGGGGTTGGCAAATTGGAATTTGGGACGGGAATTTGTAGGAATGGGAACGTGACAGGAATATGAGAATCAAAATAATTGTCCCATATATATTCCGTTCAAAATTTGGGATGGGACGGGACAAGACGGAAATGAGATAGGAATTCCCAAAATATAATTAAAAACATAACAAATTGACAATTGTAAAAAAAAAACTAAAACTCAATTTATATTCATCCATTATTCACCTTTTAAATCCTAATAAGTAACAATAATATGTCATATAAAATTATAAGTTAACAAAAAATAAATGAAATCAAATTTAACTTAATTATAAAAAATTTAAATTTTAAATTTATTTTAAAAGAGCAACATAATCCATTGAATATTGAACACAAAACCACATATAATGTAATAGTCATATAACTATTAGTCGTATAGTCTAATAGTTATATGAAACACAAAACAATATAATTTTTGCTTATATAAAATATATTAATAAATAATAATTATCACTTTTGGTAGTATATATTAAAAATTATCTAATTATATATTTATATAAAAGTATTTAGTTTATATATAATTCATGACAAATGGGATTTTGAAAATTCTCGTTCCAATCAATACGTTGTACTATATAAGAGTATATTCTCATATGGTACGAGAATTTGTGACTGGAATTGGGATGGGATAGGACGGGACAATACGGGATGGGAATTATGCCTACCCTTTAAATGCAATTTATTCGTTTTTAAAAAATAGGTAGAGAGATAAAAGTCACAAAACCAATAGTGATGAAGATTTCTACATCTAAGGTGGAGAAAAAAACGATTTTAAGAACCACCTATGCCGAAAAGGAAATGGTAAGATCTAAACAAAGTCCTGAAGAAGAGATATTCAGCAAGCAGCATCACCTAGAACTGGTAGAATTGAGCGAAAAAATCCAAATCTATAACAACAAGATTAAAATATATATATATATATATATATATATATAAATAAACGAAAAGGCACAACTTCTACGGTGATATGGAACTTCGACGAAAAACCCTTTTTTCTTCTTGAGAGCGGCGAAGTTTTTCTTAATGTGTCCAACCTCTCTGGTAAAATGGGAAAATGGTGTTCATATAATTCTAAATGAAACCGTATCAAGTGTGAGAAGGATAATGCTCTACTTAATTGTAAACAAGAATAGACTTACTCTTGGTGTAACACATGTTCAGCTTTCTTATACAGCATAGAAGGGCATGCCATTTTTAAACATTTGGCACCATAATTCACTCAACACTTTTTCGTATATAGTAAAAAAAATTAATTTTCACCTATTAGGTGGTAAAGAATTGAAAAAATTAAAAAGATAGAATAACATGGGAAGTTGAATTTTTCTAACACATCAAGAAGTGGGAATCTATTATATAATATCCCTAAGAAAAAAACAGCACTATAGTAAATCTCAGACAAGAAAAGAAAACATAAAATTATATTCGATCGGATCTTTTACATAATTGCCATCATACATACGTCGAGAAGACGTACGAGTTTATTTAAACTGAAAAATACAAATATTACCATCATACGTCCACAAGACAGACGAGTTTATTCAAATTGAAATTACATAATACTGCCATAACACGTCCACAAGACGATAGAGAAGTACAGAACAAGTCTCCAAGACACCACCACCCTCATTGATTTATACGATTGAAGAGAGACGCTTCGGGATGTCAGACCAGACCACTGGACCGACAGTTTTCTCCCTACTGATCCCGCAGTTGTCCCTTACGGCATGTAGGCGATACCCCGGCTCGTCCGCAAGCCATTGGTACACATTGAAAAGATGATTCGTGGTCTTACCTCCCGATTTGAAGCGGACCGTGACATCTACGTAGTCAACATACCAGCCGGGCGCTGCTCCTTTGCCGTCAGAGGACAGACGCAATAAACATACTGGGCTCGGAAGACACGGCCCATCCCCAGAGAAAACGTCCAGATCACCGATTTCGAAGTAGTCGTGTTTTGGTCCCACGAACCCACCCCATTTCTCTAGGTCACTGATTTCGAACTGTTTTCCGAATTTGTCTAAGAGCGAAACGCTTATGGTCGAATCTGTGCCGGCGCTATCTCTCTTTCCTGTTTGGACGCGAATTGTGTAGACGCACCTTGTATCCTGCTAAATTAAGAAAAAAATCTATTTAATCCCAAGTAATTGTAGCCTAATAGGTTAAACTAACTAATATATAGCCATAGTTAGTCGATGAGATGTGGGAAGCTTACAGCCAATGCAACGACAGAGACGGTGGCGATGAAGAAGAGGAGTGAGAGGAGGAGAACGTTAGGACGAGCCATAGTTGATGGTGATATGAATGTAAGAAATGGAGATTTGATCTGTCCAACTATTTATAGAAAGTTTGTATTGAGAGACTTGAGATTTCAAGGAGAAGAGGCCGCCATTATTGTCTGCACTTTGGAGTAGAGTCACGCGAAGTTGACGTGCATTCATTTTTTGGTCCCTGTGCGGAGTTCGTTACAATTTTAAAGGATCCTACAAGCACGTGAAAATTTCGGCCGATTGTTTGCATGGTTAGTTAGTTAGTTAGTTACCAGCAAAAACTTTGTTACAGCAAATTCTTTTGATTTACAGTTTGTTTAAAAAGTAATTATTGACACTAACTAAGGAACTCTTGAGCCAAACCAATACATAAGCTTCTCCTCATATCTTTTGTTTTTTCGGATTGTGGGATTTCCGTTTCGCCCCGTCTTGTCAATGAGCTTGATGATCTTTATAAATGTTAAAAATCAATATTATGGATAAGTTAAATAGAAGAAAAGAAGAAAGACACTTAGGGTTTTACTGCAAATATATGTATGATGTGTTTCTTCTTTTTCTTTGATCCAACAAAGGTTATTCTCCTTGAGTCACAAGTTAGTGTTAAAAAGGAACTCTAGGCTAGGAATGTTACACAATTAGCTAGAAATCCTAGGTTGAAATGCTTTTCCTATTGAAGAATTATTTCAGAGATAAAAAAAAGCTACACATGCACCTGGTTACCCTAACATCAGAAATATATTTGTCAATAAGCCATTTTTAATGTTAACGGCCCTATACATATAGGTTTAAAATGGACTTACTCTTGGTGCAACACATGTCCCGTTTTCTTAGACGAGACGGCATGCTACTTTTAAAAAAATTCGGCACCATCGTTCAGCTAAACACCTTTTTGGGGGATAGTCGAAGTCCAGGAAACCATGTATTTTTGTTTTTTTTTGTTTTGCAATTTCTGATAATTATAAGAATAACTATTGTTATCATTAGGTTTTCCAACAAACAATTCCATTTGGATATCTGATTTGTATTGGAAGATTATACATGTTTGTGCAGTAATCCTACTACGAGCAAGTTAGGGTGTCCTTATAATTGCTATTATATATAATTATAACTCATTACAATCAATAACACACAAGAAGCAACTCAAATCCTAACATTTGGCGGGGCTAAATTGTCTCGTTGGTCGTCATATATCAGCTGGTACATATATTATATCTCCTCAAATTGATTACAACATATGGTTGAGAGACTTAAGATTTCAAGTAGAGAAGGCCATTATTGTTTACTCTTTGGAGTCGAGTGTGAAGTTCATGATGACGTGCAATTTTTTGGTCCTTGTGATGAGTTAGTTATTATCTTAAGGGACCAGATTAAAAATCTGACCGATCGCCCGTGGGCATGAAGTGGCAGCCGGCAGGTTACGAAAACTTCACATTTCGAAAATTCGAATTAAATCATTTGCCATCACACATTCACAATTCGACAAAGAACAAAACTCCAAGACGAGACACACAAATTCATTCTCTCCCATACAAAAGAGGCAATATACTATTTTTCTTGTTTTGGTTAATGGTATAGATTGCAAAAATATCCTACTTGCCGACTCATCCGATTGCAAAATCTAAAAATCATGTTTCTCTCTCATATCTCTCTGTCTCTCTCTCTCTCTCTTCTACCTTTACTGCAATAATAACGAGAAGACCAGTGCTAATGATTTTGATTCATCACCTAATTAGTAAAGATCTGACAAAATCTCTGTCATAATTCGATAAAAATTCGGCCTGTATAATTAGTAATGATTTTATACAATTTTTATAAATTAGTATCCGATAAATTGATAAATTTTTATTTTTTCAAATTAAGTTTTTGATATAACTAATTTTTTGATAAATTATCATTATTAATTTATAAATGTTTTACTGTATATCCGATCTCGTGGTTCTCCTTGTTTCGAAATGGGTAAGTTCGGTCTCGATTATTCTGCTATGTTATTCATGATTGTTGTTATCCTCTGCGATTAGTCTCTCTTTTTATTTCAGCGAATATATTAATGGATGCATATTTTTTAGAGAATTATACAGAATTTTGCACACTCACCGTTTTGGAAACCGGAGGATCTACAACCTGTGATTTGGACCATTAGGTTAAGGCGAAGCCTACATTAGTCGTGGAAGTGCTTATGAACTACATAATTAAGTCCTAATTTTTTATCGCTAGCTGTACATTATGATTCACTAGTTATATCAACCTATACTCTCGTTTATTTTTCACTATGACTAATTTTTGTTATCTTAACAGACTTGTTGGGCTTAGCGACTCATACGATACGTAATGCGATGGAATGACAAGAGCTAGAGACGGCCAACTTGGGCTGGTACATCTAATATCTCCCCACTTTTTTTTTTTGAACCCAAAAAAAAAAAAATGGTTGTGAGACTTAAGATTTCAAGGACAAGATGCCATTAATGTCTGCTCTTTGGAGTAGAGTCACGTGAAGTTGACTCCCATTTTGTGGTCCTTGAGATGAGTTAGTTACTATTTTAAAGGATTCTGCAAGCAATTGTCGTTGTTTTTTACCCAACACGCATAATTTTGATTTAGCATTAGTTTAAAAAAAAATTATAACACTACTGTAAACGGCATGAATTTTCATTAATTAATGAACCGATATTTGAGGGTTTTCCCTTTGAATCATTTTTGTTTAGGTGATTTTATTATATTAACTCTTATTTGATAAGGATGTTTAATGAAAAAATCTAATATGTCATCATTTTAGTCTCATAAATGTGACATGACAAATTTTTTAAAATAAACGCAATGTTTTGAATGGTTAAATTAAAATTAAATAAATCTAAATTTTAAATAAAAAAAAATTTTATATCATATATGAATGAATTCTCATTATATAGTAAGAATTCAAAATTATAAATAAAACAAAAAAATATACAGATAGAAAAATAAATTATAAGTATTCTGTTAGCTAACTTTTTTTATTATAATACTGTATATATGAATAAAAATAAAAATAAAAGTAAAAATAAATCTTTACGACTTTAGTTTTATGTAAAAATCTCAGGCTATATTTTTTGTTTAAAGCATCTTTAACCCACATTTATTTAAATCTTCTAATTTAGGGGAAAAAAGAACGGTTGTTATTTTTTCTCCCAATTATAGAGGAAAAAAATAACATTTTTTTCCTGTAAAATAGAAATATGTTAGAGAGAAGTTCACTTATATTATAAAGGAAAAAATAAAAAATACATTGGAGATGATCTTAACGTTTAATATATTATTAAATGTTAAAAAAAGTATGAGTCAAAGAAGACAAAAAAATAAATAAGAATAATTTTGATCGATTTTAAGTTTTTATTTGAAATATTTACAAATATTATCTTACAAATATTAATTTTTAATGCATATATTTTTTCATATTAATACAGTATTTCATAAATCAAGTTTTGTATATGTTGTGATCCATTATATTTTATATTAACAAATATATTAAAGTTAGAAACAGATCAACTCTTAATTTTTAATGAAAATTAAATATTAAATATATTATTTTACACCTTAAATCAAACACATATAATTTTAGATCTGATTGGCTTAAATAATTCGGTTACAGAGAGATTATGGAAGCAAGCGATTGCGGATTATAAAAAAATTGACAAAGAGATGAAGGGAGAGCTACTGGAGAATTTTATAAAATATGATTTCACAAATTTTATAATAAATATTTATTATATTTTTATTGAGAAACCATATATCATCAAACGCTGAAAAATAAGAAACTTTGATTAAATACAAAGCGATAGAAATTGTTTTCGTAATTGTTGTTAAACGCCAATCAGTGCATCGTCTAAAAACATAACGTTTGCAGAAAATACAAGAAAAAACTTACCAACACATAAATATTACAATTCACTTATTTCTAACTCATACATACATGCATAAATATACTTATTATTTTTTTTTAAAGAAATCAACAATATATTATAAAAATATTTATTAGAAAACATATACTTTGTTATTTTCTTTTAACACATAAAAGACATATTTAGGTTTTCTTACAAATATGCGTGTAGATATAAATATTAATTTTGCAAAAGTCAAACTCGAATACAAACTTGTCGTCCATAGATTTTGTTAACCTCGATTACTTTCTAATTTTAATTTTAGTTGTTAGACAATTTATATTTTTTTTATAAATTTTTTAAGTAAAAGCAGAGCATGTAAAATCAAAATTATGGACTCTCTTAAAAAGAACTATGTACGCATAGAAAATACCATATATGCATATCTTTGGAATATATTCCTTTTTTTAACACAAACTATATATGCATAGATATACCATATATGCATATCTATCGAATACATACATTTATCTTATCTTCTCGTGCGACTGCTTCTATTACTATTAACAAATGAATACATTCGTGATTTGATGTTTGAGGAAAATTCATTCCTACAAGGTATGTAAAAATACTGCTTAATATACTCTGTTATAGTTTTCTTTTCACTTTGTTAGCTTTTAAGCCCTATGGTAAGTATATTTGTGCTTTAGGCTTACATCTCTGAGACTCATCCCATCATATGAGAATGCACTAAAGAATCATTTCACATTGCTTTACTTTTTGTGTTAAAAATTAATAAGTAATATGTATTTTAAAGAACTTAGAGAGATTGAAAGTTAGGTAATCTAATAAAGAAGTCAAGAAGAATCTTATTTCTATTTTAGTTGATGCATGGAGCGTTTTCATAAATGTTCCAATTGATATTTGACGTAGTTTGATTATGTCAAAGCAAACACTTTGAGTTGGGTTTTTTTTTGGGTTTGATAACTGATACTAATGGATCATGTAGGATCAATTATTAAACTAAAAAAAAAAAAACAAACTCAAAATGTCTAGAGACTAAAGTAATCCAGGCAAGGTCATGCCAGTTTCTGAACGAGGTGAAGATGATCTCGAGGTATTGTTGAGTAAGTTATATTTTGCTTATAAACATTGTTATAGAATAAGTTATGGTATACATAAATTAAAACAAATTAAAACATAAGGTATGGACAAGTTATTGGATACATAAATTAAAACAAAATAAACATTGTTATATTTTACTTATATTTTTCTTATATTTTGTTTTATGTTTTACTTTTGTTTTGCTTAGATTTTACTTAACTTTTTTTCTTTAAAGTATTTTAAACTGAGATGTCATATTGATGATGAGATAAGTTTATTTGTGAGTTAGTATAAAATTTTAGTGGTTTTGTTAGCACATATATGAATGTATAGGTCTTCTAAGAATCTTCTTTCCATATTATCGTAACATGGAATGTTTTTATAAATATTCCAATTGATATTTGAGGTAGTTTGATTATGTCAAAGCAAAAAGAATCTTCATCCTCCTCCCAACGTTTATTAAAGCACATGCATCCTCTTCATCTATATGTACATTCCAACCTCATTCGATTCATCTAAACGATTTTCATTCCAAGCTCTTCTCTTTCATCTATATATTTTCTTCTTAATGATGAATATTATTTTCTTTTTCTTCTACTCCTCTTTAATTCAACCACTTTGTATATCGGTTAGCATAGTGTCCCGAACAAGAACATTAAGCATGTGGGAAAACAGTACCTTGGTCTCTAAACACTTCGAGTTGGGGTTTTTTGGACTTGACAACCGATCATATATCGGAATATGGTATAGCAAACGTAACCCAATGATTTATGTTAGGTAGCGAACAGAGAGTTTCTCCTCTCCCGTTCCTCTGGTATGTTGAGTTTGAAAGAACAATTTGATTCTGCTCAATCATCGACAAAACCAGGTATGGTCCACCATTGTGATCGGAGGCCGGAGATAGTAGTCTTCGAGCTTTTAGACAATGGGAACTTTGTTCTCAAGGACGTATCCAACAACACTAACTGGCAGAGTTTTGACTACCCGAGCGAAATGACATTGGAAGGTGAGTATGAGATGGTATTGGTGGCATGGAAAAGGCCAGACAATCCGTCAGGCGGCTCATCCAATTTTCAAGTAAATATAGGTAATAGTATACCAATTCCTCATATACTTATGTGTGTGTATATGTTTTTTTTATTTAACTTGGTTGTATTTATTGTTACCACATACTGTGTATATATTAAAAATATTACGAGTTATGCACATTTTCATATGTTTCCCAGTTTTCAGACGACTAATATCTTCCTTTTGAAAGAATAGCTTTGCATGATTTTAGACATGTCAACATACCAACCACTTCACCGTTCTCAGGATAAATAAATATGGTTTAATTAGCAATATGTCAAAGAAAAATGTATATTTAAATATATATATATTGGCAATATTATATTATGTAAAAAGAAAAAGAAAGTATTATATAGATAATATTCAAAACATATTATAAGAATTTAATTATTATTTAATATAACTTTTATATTTGTAATTATATATTATTGTAAACGCTAGGAAAAATAAAAAGTTCTCAAAAGACACAAAACGATGAAACATTTGTGTGATTGTTGTTGAACACTAAAATTGTATATGTATAAAAACATAAAATTTATATAATGTATAAAAATATTAATCAATACTTAAATATTATAATTAATTATGTTTATAAGAAAATTATACTAGCTTGCACATGCATGCGGACCAAAAATAAGAATTAAATAAATTATTCTATATTTTAATATTTTCCCGTTTATTTAGTTACCATATTTACATTTTTTCTCCAAAAAAATATTTTAAAAATTTAGTTTATATTTTTTTTATCTTCACTTTCTATTGAAACATATAATATTTTTATTTAATTTATCATTATTTTTTATTATCAAATGTTTATTATTTTATTATTAATACATAATTAATCATATACAAATAAAACATCTTCAATACTATATTAATCATAATTGAACATATAAAATATTTTATAGCCTGCACACGGTGAAGACTGATCACCTAGTTGTAAATTATTTTTGGAACTTTGCAAAACACATGCATGTTTTTTTTTTTTACAAAAGAAAACACATAGTGTTGATCTATCATTGGTTGTTTAGAATTTATATATTTATTGTAAATGGCATGGATTTTCATTAATGGACGAATATTTGATGGGTTTTTACACAAATTTAATAGGTGAGAGTGTTTTTCCCTTTGATTCATTTTAATTTGCTTAAGTGATTTTTTTTCTTGTAAAACTTTTTGTGGAACTTTGCAAAACATATGCATGTTTTTTTCTTTCCTTTTACAAACCAAAACACTATAGTTTTGATCTATCGTTGGTTGTTTAGTTTTTACCTAGACAGCGTGATGGCTTAAATAGAAGAAAAAAAGAAAGGCACTTAGGGTTTTTCTGCAGATATATGTATGTTGTTTCTTCTTTCTTTGATCCAAACAATTGTTCAAGTCACAAGTTAGTGTTAAAACGGAACTCTAGGCTAGAAGTGTTATACAATGAGCTAGAAATCCTAGGTTAAAATGCTTTTCCTATTTAGAAGAATCATTTTCAGAGATAAAAAGCTACACATGCACCTGGTCACCCTAACATCAGAAATCTATTTGTCAAGAAGCCACATTGACCTCTTTGGTCAAAAAAACAAAGAAGATGAACATTTTGGTTAAGTGGGAATTGTTTCATATTATACTAAGTGAAACCTTCATATTAGGAGATTACGAGATCGACTGAACAAATACTTATTGTTATTAGCAAAGTTAAGATTTTTGTAGATTTCGTAATTGCTATATATAGGTAGAGTTCCTATTATCAAATATGTAAAAAGCTTGTTAAACAAGTTAGGATATTGTATGAATAGGCTAATGAATAAAGATGAGAGAAGCTATTATACTTCTGTTGTTTCTTCATTTTCTTTGGTCCAAAATTAAAAGGTTTCTCTCATAAGTTAGGGATAAAACGGAACTCATCTAGGCTAGGATTGTTACACATACTACCCTAAATAAAAATTCTATATATTAGTCTATAAGCCACATTGATCTCTTTGGTTAAAAGGAACAAAAAGATGAACACATTTTGGTTAAGTGGGAAGATGGTTTCATATAATTCTATAAATGAAACCGTATCAAGTGTGAAAAGGATAATGATCTACTATAAATGTTGACAGTTCTATTTATTTAGTGAGAGTTATTGGTTCTATAATTTTAATAAATTTAGAAAAATTAACACTGATTGTATGATTTTAAAATCTATATTTAAATTCAATATTATTGGTTCTATAATTTAAAAATTTATATTTGAATTCTGTGTTATTGGTTTATGATTTTATGATCATGGATTTAGTTTTAAAAAGAATTTTATGGATTTGGAAGGATTTCTATATTAAAAAAATCCAAGGTTAAACCTATGATTTTGTAAAATCAAAAATCAATAAATTTTATAAAGATTATACACATTTTTAAATCAACTAAATACATAAACCAATAACAGCCCGTTAGCTTTAGAATAAACTTATAATGCATCTACATCACAAAGTATCAACATATCTTAATTAAACAATATTAATCTTTTAAATAATGTACTTAAATTTTAATAGTTTTAAAGTTTTTGAGTCACTTATATATAAACAAATGTAATGAATGTCTAAAAGCACCTTCATCAATGGGTTCTTACGAAGTATTTGAAAAATTAAATAATTTTCAAAAAATAGTAAGAGAGAGAATGCAAAATCGATTCTCAAATCGGAATTCGTGAGATACTATGAGAATCCTGTTTAACATTTGTTCTTTTTTATTGGTTCAAATCTTTATTCTTTATTAAAATTTAATTGTATAACTAATTCATATTAAAAAAAATTATAATTAATTTGTTGAGAACTTCAAATGGTTCTAAACGGATGGAATACTTCAAGAATTTTTTTTTCAGAATTTTTTATTTGAGAAACGTATGTCTTTCTCCTACTTTTTATTAATATATATTAGTAAATACCACTAAAAACATACTATGGAGGTGTTCTTAGACCATCCGGAACGCATCTTAACTTGTGTTCTTAAGAAAATTAGGTGTTTAAATAAATGAAAATTAAATAAAAAGAGAGGAGACGATTCCTAATTAAGGTGTTTAAGAAATGGATTTTACTTGCTACGTGTCTATATCTGATTGAAAAGAGATCGAGAACACAACGATATATTTTTTCTACGGATCTCTTGCTTTCTCTCCCTCTACACTTCTTCTCGCGATCGTTTTGTGAATCTGTTTTAATTTTCGATTTTGAGCTATTGAATATTGCCTGGATTTGCGGAGATAGTTGACGATGTTTGTGGATGGGATTGTGGAAGGGGAAAGATCGCGATTAAGAGGATCGACAACTCGACGAGCCATCAGGTGACTTTCTCGAAGCGAAGGAGCGGGTTGTTGAGACAACTCGACGAGCCGTCAATTTTTTTTTTGTGAATTTCTTATAATTTGGTGATGCTCCTTTGATTTCTTGATGGGTTTCGATCGAATTCCTTTGATTGGTTTTAAAAATAAATCGTGAGCATAAGCAGCTGATTTTTTTTCTTATGACCCCACTCATAAAAACTCCGACTTTCATATGTTCCTGTCTTGGATTTTGATTTTTAGTATTGTACCTCATTAAGACTCATTGTCTCTTGGTACGATGTTTTCTTTGATTTTGCAGGAACCTTTGAGCAGAGTAATTCAAAAGTAAATCAAGTCTTGAGATCTTGCAGCACCTTAAACGATTCTCCATGCTTCTCCATGGCGCCTGCAGTTTTGGGTGCTCTCTTCAGCGTTGGAGCAATAGGAGTAGCTTATGCTGAGTCTGAACAGGTTTGTTACACAAATCTACAAAAAAATTGAATCTTAGGTGTTGAGAGATGGAGTTAGCTCTTGTTTGTGACACCGTAACTTTTGCTGATTGTAGTTTAAAAATTATCATATTGCAGGCTAATGAGAATTCATCTGCTCCCATAGATCCTCCACCAAACTATGTAGATATTGCCAAGAAAGAACGAGCTCGAATCGAAGAATTTTCCAAGCGGATGCTCTGAATGACACTTTTGGAATTCCTCAATTATCTGGAAAAACATGTGACATACATAAGAATTGGTAAGACTAACAAAGGAGATCGAATTATCTTCTTTTATAAAAACAAAAGATGGCAAAAGATATGTTCTCTTGCCAGATGCAGTTATGTAGATTGACTATAATCATTTTAATTGCATATTTGCATTGTTTACTAGAGCATATGTTTATCAAAGCTACAAATTAATATGAGTTATCACCATCACTGCATATGTTTCTCAAAAGCATACTAAACTTGGTATAGACTAAGAAAGATGGAGTTTTGTTTGAAGTAGTGTTTTTCGAAACATACTAAACTTGGTATAGACTTTGAGATGGAACTCTAATTCTCTCTCTTGTGCTCTGTATTTTGGGACTATGATTGAATTGAATTATCAGGACGTGGTCAAGATAACAATTGAACGTTTTTTCTGTTTATTATTTGGAAATTTATGTTTAAAATGTTTTTATGTCAAGTATGTGTCAAATTTCAATCAATGTAATATATTTTATGTTTTATTTAAAATATGAACTCTATTTACAATTAAAAAAAACGTTTTTTAAACACTTCTAAATAAGATTCTACCATTGGAACATAGAAAATAAAATTATCTTAACAAAGGTTCTTAACCAAAAAATTATCATTATATATTAATTAAGAATTCCATTAGAGTTTCTCCCATTACACATGCTCTTCACTTGGTGCAACACATGTCCTGCTTTTTTAGCCGAAAAAGGCATGCCATTTTCTAAAATTTTCCATCAACTAACAATTTTATTATATATTTTAAAGGTTTTTTAACTTTCACCTTTTACTTGATAAAGAATTGAAATAATCAAAAGATATAACATGGATAAAATTGAATTTTTCAAAAATCAAACATATCAAGAAGTGGGAATATATATGTATATATATATATATATAGTCTCTAAGAAAAAAACAGTAGTATAGAAATAGAAATGCCCGCACACGTCGAGTTTATTGAAATTGAAATTACATTATTACCATGCATCACAGGTGCACAAGACAGACGAGTTTATTCAAGTGACAACATGCATTAACAAATTTTGCCATATAAGACGTTGAGAAGACGATACAGAAGTAGAAACAAGTCTCAGAGATTCTCCCGGATGATCTCAGACCCCACAGATGTTCCGTATGGCAGTGAGGTCATAGGGCCGCTCATCGGTCGCAAGCCATCGGTCCACATTGAAATGCTGACGTGCGCTGTCAGCTCCAACCCTGACTTCCACGGAGTCGAGATACCAGCCGGGCTTGTTGCCGGTGCCGTCAGAGGTCACACTCAGTAAGCAAACTGGGCCCGCAAGACACGTGGCCTTGGAAGAGAAAACGTCCACATTACCGTTCTCGAAGTAGTTGTGACCTCGTCCCATTAACCCACCCCAGTTCTCTAGGTTTGGGATTTGGACCTTATTTCCGTACTTGTCGGAGAGTACAACGGCTACGTTCGCATCTGTGCCCGCGCTATCTCTCGTTCCGGTTCTGACGTAAATTGTGTAGTCGCAATCTTCCTGCGAAAAGATATTAATATTGTCCGAAAGAAAGCCTAATTGATAGTTTAAACTAATATTATGGTCCTATGGGGAGCTTACAGCGAATGCAAAGAGAGAGACGGTGGCCATGAAGAGGAGGGAGGGGAGGAGAACGTTAGGGCGAGCCATAGTTAGTTGTTGATATGAATGTAAGAAATGGAGATTTGAATTGAGATTTCGAGGAGAAGAGGCCGCCACTATATATATATTGTCTTTACACAAAATTGACGTGCATTTATTTTCGGATTATATATTGGTCGTCACGCAAAGTTGACATGCAGTTAGTTTTTTTTTTTTTCTTTCTTTGGTCTGCACATATGCATGAGGTAGTTAGTTATCTTTTTTAAAAAAAGTTGAATGTCAAAAATTATATTCAAACCAGAAAAAAACTTTGTTACAACATATGCTTCGTCTTTAAAGTTTGTTTAGAAACTCTGGAGCCAAACTAATACATAAGGCTCTCCTCATATCTTTTGTCTTTTCGGATTTCTGAATTTGGTCAAGAAACGGACTTGTATTGGAAGATTATGTTTGTGTAGTAATCCTAATACGAGCCGATTAGGGCTTCCATATGACTGGTGATATATATTATCCAATTCTGAAATGCACCCGTTAAAATTTTGTTCTTAGTGTATTTTAAAGCTAATTTTTGAAATGCACCCATTAAAATTTTTAATTTTGTTCTTAGTGCATCCACTAAAAAAAACTTCTAGCTTCGCCCCTGACAGTACGTATGGCGACGGAAAATTGTAAAATCTGCTCCGACACACTGTCGCATTTCACCGCCAAACACCATCAAAGTTTTAGACCCTGACCACAATTCTTCTTTTTCTTTTAATACCGCCAAGTTCTAAACTGAAATCCGTACATCTTTATATTTTTTTTTCGTCTACGGTTATATAAATTCTACTTTTGTTTTTGACATAATTAAGTCTACATTTGTAAACGTTTTGACTCATTATTTTTTTTAAACAACCACATCGTAATTTTTTTCTTCCACATCTTACAGCAGTTTAAACCGTAGCTTTGTGTGCTGTATACCTTTTTTTAGGCAAGCTATATCATATTTTTAATTATCTTCAAAATTATTCAGAAACTATAAAATTCTTGGAATCTTGTCTCTTCGCTACTCGAAAACCATGGTAGCCAGAAAAGAAAAAGAAAAAACAAATTAGTTGGGACAATTGGCTAGAGATATCTATATTGTATTTTAAAATGTAAAGAGTGTTTTGTGACGTATCAGTAATTAGGATATCCGACTCGTTTTGTTAGAATAAAAAAATGCTCGCATTGAAAAAAATGCAACTGGATGCTCAGTGATAGTGATAGTATAAGTAAACATATACTCCCTTCGTTTTTTAAATGTTGATGTTTTAGATTTTGTTTTTATTTTTGAAAGATTGATGTTTTGTATTTTAATTAATGCATTTAGTTTTACAAGATGAATTAAAAACAAACTATTGGTTAGCTTATATTGAAAACAAAAAAAAGTAACTAAAAATATAAATATAAATAACTAATAAAATAAGTAATTATTGTATCTTAATATATATGAAAGATGTCAAACATCAATCTTAAAAAAACAGAGGGAGTATAATGTTGTCATCAGCAGTATTTATTAAACCGAACCAGATCAAGGTTCCGACCGAACTCAACCATAAACCGGATGTATAGCCAAGTTGGGTAAATAATTGAACCGGTTATAAAACCAGACCAAACCGGTTGGAAACCGGTAAAAAAAAGGTGGACCCAGGTTTTGATGTTAAACATCGAAGCGATCTGTTTCTATTAAAATTACTAGGTATTTATCTGCGCTACGCTGCAGGATATTTTCTAGATTTGTATATATTTTTAATATAATAAAATTATTTATATATTTTAAATGAGTATTATATTTTTTTTTTCATTAGCTTAAGTTATGTATTTATATGTTTTAAATCTGAATAAACATTTTATTCATTAATTTTTTATATTTTAAAATTATAATCTACTATCAAATTTGTATAGCTAACTATCTATAAATGTATATGTAAGAATAAAACAATACATTTTTAAGTATCTTCAAGCTAATGGTAGATGTGATTTCAAGTAGCAAAAATCGAGAAATCGTCTATTCCAACTAAAACAAGAAAAAATTATTTTTCTCGTCAAATCAAAAATCACGCCTTCCTACCAAAACCCATAAACTACAATTTTTTGCAAAAACCAAAAATTGCATTATCTCCTGAGAAATTGCGTTTCCCACGAAAACTAAGAAATCATATTTTCCCTCGAAAACCAAAAATCAAATTATATGTCAAAAACTGAAAATTTGCATTTTTTCATCAAAACCAAGAAATTGTTTATTCCCACCAAAATCGAGAAATTTTGCTTTTCTATCAACCCGAGAAATTATATTTTCTGCCAAAATTGTCAAATTACAATTTTCCGCAAAAATCAAGAAATTACATTATCCATCAAAAGCCGAAAAATTGCATTTTCTATCAAAATCGAGAAATCATATTTTTCGTGAAAATTGAAAAGTTGCATTTCCTTCGCATTTTCTCGTCAAAATCAAATTTTTTATTTCTCACTAAAACCAAATTTCACATTTTGCCGCCAAACCCGAGAATTCGTTTTTTTCCGCCATAACCGAGAAACTATGTTTTCCTACCAAAACTGAAAATCGCATTTTTCTACCAAAACCAAGAAATTCTCTATTTCTGCCAAACCCAAGAAAATTTGTTCTCGGTAACCAGTGGAAATGCGAATCTCCAAGCTGTGGTAGTCTGAGTTTCTCCTCATTTGCTTTCACCTTCCATTTTTTTTTGTAAACTTTGGGCTATTTAATGGGTCAGCAAAATAGTAAATTGATTTTATTAGTTTGTTAATAATATGTATTATTGTTATGTTTTTATTGGTTCAAATTTTTGCTGATGTGTGAGCTTTTTATAACATAACGCTTTTTGCATTGTTGTTATGGAAACATAGTTGATGATGAGTCTACACTTTCTTCAATCATATACGTCTCTATCAAGCAAACACATAGTTAGAAATTTTAATTTTTTTGCTGTTATTTATTATTTGAGTTTCGGTTTGACAAAAATATAAAACAAAGATTTAATTTTATTATTTGTTGTTATTTATTATTTGGGTTTATTAAAAAAATAAAACAAATTTTTTTTTATTTGCTGTTATTTATTATTTGGGCTTGGGCTTGACCAAAAAATAAAACTAAAATTAACAATAAAAAATATTTGAGTTTTTAATGGGTTTAAATTTAAAAGTTAAAATAAATTGATGACTTGTATTAATGACATGTTTTTATTGGTGATTTTTTTTTTGAAGTGTCATCTTCTAAAAACTTGAAAATGCTGATGTGTCAAGCCATGGAGAGACTTATGGGTTATTGTTGTGTTGATTTGTTCTTGTTTTCTTATGATAATTTATTATTTGATATATAATTTCTGTATGATTGTTTCACTTAGGGTTTTTTAAAATTTAATGTATGATTATTTGAAATGTTTTTTTCAATATTGATTGTTGGATTTTTGAAGACTATATATATATATATCATATATTTGTTTTTTTATTTTTTTATTTATATATCATATATTTGGATTTCAGTAATTAGTATAATATATGAGGAGAGAAGAACTTTTTTACCCATAATTTTGTAGTTTATTTTCTAATTCTAGTTCTAGTGTCCGCATATATCTTCTTAATTAAAAGTTTAAGAAGACGTCGTAAAAATATATTACAATTAGTTTACATATATTGTATTAAAAATTTAAATTTTATGCTCGACCGTTCCCGACCGCAAATCTTCAATGCGCATTATAACCATGCATAAATACTAATGTAGCTATGTGGTCTAGCACGATATTAAAAATCCCTTTTCAGTTTCATCATCCATTACTATAATCTCTCCACGTAAAAAGGTTTTGGTAATGTAAGTACCAAATTACTAGAATAAATTATTTTAAATATATCTTTTTTACACTGCTATAACATTCGAACTATTAAAGTTTCTGTTACCACCATTAATATTTTCTAGTTTTAATTAATAACTTAATTTTTTAGATATAATTGTTACTCTTAAAGTTTCTTTTTCAGTTACATCTTTTAGGTTTAAATATAGCGCATATAGCCCCAAAAAAAACCCTCATGAGAAGTTAACTAAGAAGATTAGCGAAAAAAACAATTGTTTTAAGAGTCTAAAACATCATCACAAATATAAAGTCAAAGTCAAACATGATCCCAAGGTTTCTCAACGACGAGGTGTGGACCGTGGAAGCACGCGCTTGGGGTAGAGACTAGAGAGGGTTGGTCGGTCAATTATATAAATAATTGTAGACAATAAGAAAGCAAGAGAATCTCTAATCTAATCCAAAGAGTGACTTAGGGGACATTAAGCACATAATTCGATCTTGAGGACTGTGTTTGTGGAACAATCTCTCCCTGTCTTATATTTTTTTTAATTTAGTTTAATATCTTTAACTCCCTTTGTCCAAATGATTATGTAATCATACTATTTTATATCGCTATTATTTAATATATATATAGCTATGTGGTCTTCTTTGGTCTCTAAAAAGCTCCATATCTTTTAAAAAAATGATCTCTGAAAATTTTGGTGGATTACGCACACCCAAAAAAAATTATTGTATCTAAAACATTTAAACATATGAAAACCAAATATTATAATAATACAACAAAACCGAGTACATACACTAACACTAAATGACACATATTTTAACCGATGGAACAACCAAGATTTAAGATGTAATTAATACCAATTGTTTAGACCAATGTTTACTAGTAAAACTTTTCAATAAATGACTACTGAGTACGTACTGACTAGTGTCAAGTGTGTATATATACTATTTGTTTATACAAATATATATATAATATACACATGAGCTTGTGTGGGTTATATGAATGCATATCGGAACATAATATTTGTTTGTCGACGTCGGTTGATTAAGAAAGTTTATTTCAATCATGCATGTACGTAGGCAATATATTATTGACAGTGCTGTCATTCTAGCCCTAGCTACAATATTAGTTGTCCTTAAACATTTCGCTTTATTTTCTTATTAACACGTAAATATTGTCAAATGTTAACCTGTATGTTCCGTAAAATTTAAAACCAAAAAATTAACTAGATTAATCATTAAGAAAGAGAGTTGTTTATTATGGCTGCTATGCATGGATGATGATGATGATGATGATGATGATGATGAATGGCGTTGATTTGACAAGACGAGAGTGATGAAATGGCAGAAGCTATGATGACATAATTCTCATTAGCAGTAGACAACGCTCCATGTCTCACTTCCATGTTTCTCTCTTTTTATCATCCTTAGCCAACAGAGAAGAAAGATCACACATCCATCTACATATAAATAATATGTATACTTTCAACTGATTTTAGTCGACTCGCTTGAGGCAATTCAGAATTACGATTAAAAACAAATTCCATATCTAGGT